CCCCAAAACCCCAAAACCCCAAAACCCCACGGATATAGTATCATCTACTCATCCATTAAAAGAATTATTTAATTATTAATCAGTTGAATAGAAATTTAAAGATTTAAAATATTTGAGATCAAGGCAAACACTTTAATTATTGAAAACATCATAGAAAATGGCAGACACTCATCCACTTATGTTTACAGGGCAGGGGGCCTTTTAACCCCGCAGAAGCAATGATTATGATAGGGGTGACTAAGCCTAAATCGAAAATACTCATGCACTCAAGAATGATTTAGGCCCTAGATGGAGCAGCGAGGAAATATAACTCTTCTTCGAAAGTAATATTCATTGATCAGCGCATCTTAAGTTTGTGATTTTAATGAAATTTATAGCTTTTAAACGGAGCGGAAAGGATTGGTAAAATATTCTAAATGAATTTCACATGTAAGGCTTCACTCATCGAACTAGAGATCAAATCAAATCACTCTATTCAAAGGTAAATCTTTCAGAGACAGCTTCCATTTTAATTTATAAATAAATAGCACAAGACTTATCTTAAACTACCCTCTGCATCAGCAAAAGACTTGACTGCGATAATGACAGACTACTACAAAAGCCTCAATTTAGAGAAATAGAGGTAAATGCAGTAGAAGCAGAATATGAAGCAAGCGCAAGAACAAATTGGGCTTGTTAAGGAAGATTTTATTTGTAATGAAAACATCAAGCAAGTGAAATTACCAAGAAGATCAAGTGGCATCGCAGTAAGACCTGGTTATTCTAGTAGCAGTGAAAGCTAAGATATTGAAGAAAATAAAAGTAGCGAACCAGAAAACTATCAAGACAATATCCCATCGAGATAGCAAAGTTACTAAAATTTCATACCGATCGGGAGAAATCCAAACTAGGGCGGCGGAGTTTTCAGACCTTAAATAAGTAAGTGAATCTAATTAATTAACATAAATAGTTAAATAAGCTGAGGAAGTGAATTACAGAGTTCCCAACTAACAAAATCAATAATTTACGAATTAAGATAATTATCAACATTAGCAATAATTATAAGAGAGAGCTTTCAACGTATATATTTTTTAATTAATTATTTAGAAATATGAGTAATATGGTAGTAGGAGTGCATAGAATCACCATAAGTTCAAAAGTCGCCAATAAAATTATCATTAATTTTATCCAAGAGGCCATAGAAACGAAAGATTTCCAAATTAAGCGCCAGAAATGTATGATCATGAGATGGGTAGTAACTAATATGACAATTATGATGATAATGGATCTCAGATAAACACACCATCAAGAATGAAAAAGAAGACAATATATCCAACAGGCCTTCCTTAGAGGAGACTATTTTCATAAAATGCAAGTCCAATGAGAGGACATTAATTTGGATAGCAATAAATTGGAACCGGTATTAGAATTGGAAATGGAGGATAATTAAAGGGTCAAAATCAATTTGGAAATCATAAGGATTATGATAATTATCAAGCAACTAAGCTAAACACTAAATAAAAAAGACAAATAAAAGCAAATAAGAGCATTTGCAGAAGAGGCGTGTAAGAGATGAATCCTTATATCATGGTTCAAGATGATCAAGACACAGGAGCTTAGCTCTCTAAAAATATTCCGAATCCTCCATCAAGCATTGAATATTCAAAGCTCGTAACAAGATGGATGAGATGTGAGTATTTCTACTCTTGGATTGATAGACCATATTATCTTAGCAATGATTTTAAGTAACTCCTAACAAAAGCTGAACTTGAAAATACTAAACTCAACTAATTGGAATGGTCATTAGTGAGAAGAGCTTTAGCTAGCAGTCGTGGTATAAAACCGAGAAGATTTTCTGATAGATTCATTCAGGATGAAAAATTAAAGATATAGAATTATAGAGATATCTTTAGAGAAATAATAAAATCTATGCAGCTTAAAACCTTTGTTCCTGATCAAAACGGTGACTTATCAATGCTTCTCTTTGATAAAAAACCTTAGTTTGAAGAAGAACGAGTAAAGGAAGTACTTCAGATTATTAAAGTGTATTAAATTGCTCCTTTAGTGGTTGGCTAGAGAGTTTTAGCTTTACATCCTAAGGTTAATGAGCTCAGAACTGCCTCATTATTGACTACTGATGTTTAATCTTATCATGCATAGTTTGACAGGCCTGAACTCAAAGTTATTATAATCACAGACTAATAACTTATACCTATCTCTGGTAGTGAATATTATCAGTAGAGTTCAACTTAGAATAGCAGTCTCTAACTAAATAAATTGAGAAATATGTATCTTTACAATAAATTCTGTAAGTCAATGATGCTATTTTATATCTTATAGAAAATGTTATCCACAGGGTTAGAGACAATAATTAAGGATAGATAGTATCTTAAAGCAGCCTGTCTAATCCATTTTAACCTCCCAATATCTAAATGGATGATGAAGATGGAAATTTCATTCCTTTTGAGCACACTCAATTCTCCAAGGACAATATCAAAGCAATGGCCCTCCTAATAATTCTTTTTGAGAGGTACCTATATTATTCTCTTATTTACATTAATCTATAGGAAAAATCGATTGATAAATGAGATCAGAGCCCTCAATGACTAATATTTGAGATTGCCATCTTATACTGAGGATTTTAGATAGAAATATGCTTGGACAGCTATCCAACTTTAGGCTACAAACTCAATTATAGAGCCAGTTTTGACAATGTTCAGATATAGACAGATTAAGCCTGAATTCCTAAGTCTCTACGAAGATTAGATGAATGAATAAGATGAAAAGATGACCAATGAGGGTACCGAGGAATTCGTTTCGGGCCAGGTTTTCAAATAGGCATAGACTTTGTATGATGCTGACTATATTGAGGTAAAAAAGAACTTTAACCCCAACTGCCAAGATGTAAGAGATTTATATAACTAATTTTTATTTAGTTTGACAACTAAATATACGAGGGCTTAGACAATAAAGAGGAAGAAGACGTTGAGATGAAAATAGAAGATGAGTCCATAACAGAATAAAACCCAAGAGCTGAATCTATTAACTATGAAAGAACTCCTTAAATCGCACTTCAGACTTAGGAAATGTACTCTACTTTGAAATCTCTGCAAAACTATTACAAAATTATTACGCCTTCTTTAGTGATTAATCAACAACAAGAAAATGCAAACGACTAATCAAATGATCAATACAAAAGCTAATCCAATTACAAAATAAATCTAGATTCAGTTGTGCTTGAAGAAATTTTGGTAAACTGTAAAAAAGGAAATGAGGAACAAATAAATGGTAACATTGCTTCAATTTTAGAGAATTTAATCCCTGGTGACTAAAAGTCGATAGAAATTTTGAATAAAATTGATGTAGCTATTGCAAATTTTTAATAAAAGTTGCATGAAAAGGCTCAAGACATCTTGCTCTAATGAACAAGTATTAGAATACGATTTTCAATGGCAACTTTGATTGCGATAAAATCCCAATCAAAAGACGCCTAATCTTTCAGCTATAAAGTGATGAAGAACTAAATCTTGTCTTCAAATCTTATATAAAAAGCAATTAAATTTATTTTCAGTAAGTTTTCTTTACTCTCAAATTCTTCACATATGGGGTTTTGGGGTTTTGGGGTTTTGGGGTTTGGGGA